TATTGAATGAAATGTTTAGTAACGATTTAAAATTTTGGATCGTTACAGTTTGGTATCAGAGCCCAGACTTATAAAATCGATCATGTAGACTTTAAAAATACAATTAAAAAAAGAAGGTAATCCATAAATGTGATATGTGGCATATATTGATTTATAAATGTTAGTTACATTTTCATATTGATTATTGACTATAACCAATAAGATAATATGCTTTTATTTATTTAGGATTTGATCATACATAAGGAACATAAATTTTAAATTTTAAACAATTTTTCCTATTCCCAGTTAAATATTAATTCTAAAAAATAAAAAATTACAAGGTGGTTATGTTGGTTCTCTTTGTTCTTATGTGTTACTGCTATGATTTTAATTTCAATGTGTACAAATGAGTTTATTTTCGACATAAGATTTATATATGTATATATTTATTTTTATTTTTATTGAATTATAGTACGAGTTTTTAAATATATATTAATTGGTTTAAAATTATATTGGATTAAATAAACTTAAAATGATAAACATTAAATTGTGTCCTTAATGAAAAAAAACCTCGCATTTTTTCTGACGATTCGACCTCTATGCTTAAGTCGCTACAACTTAAGTCTCTTTTAAAGGAAATATCATGGGTTTCGAATCCTAGAGACGCGATAGAAAACAAGATTCCATCCTTTCAATCCATATTTTTGAAGATTATTTCCTGGATTTTGTGCATGGAAGAAGAAGGTACAATAGAAAATTGTTCAAGGAAACTGGAAGAAATTCAAGAATTTGTGAATTGACTTTTTTCTAACACATCTAGAAATCGGGTGATGTCTCATCATTCAAACATGAGTAATAGTACTTTCGTATGCTCGACTAAACTTTTAGTTAATTACTAGGATGTAGATGAACCATTTATTACGAAATTTTAATATAAATTTCGAGAATTTGACGTTTAATGCTTGTTTATTTTGGATTATTGTTAGATGAGGGAAAGAATGACGAATATAGCATGTTATAGCAATGTAGGGTTTGACAACATATAAAGATTTTTCGCTATACCTTACATAATTTAATTGGATATTGATGTGTTTTTATTGCATCTTTTTATATTCATATTTTTCATAGAAATATACAGAGATCATATATATCTTTTTATTTTACTCGAGATAGACTATTGAGCAAAATAGAAACATCAATCGAAAAGAGTAAATAAGTGTTGTCATAGTCGTGAGTGGTGTTACAACAGATTAATAATGGGTGATTCATAGTCGTAGTTCTTGCTTCTAATTGAATTATAAACGCTTCTTGTTGCTCTTTAGATTAGTCTAAATAATTAGTTATAAAAGTTCAATTAATCTACTCGTACATCATGTTTGTATATCAAGTTTGACAGCCCATATGTATAAGAAATTTGACCATTGATTTGAATGGGTTATGTTAAAGGGTAAAGATATTTATACACAATTTAGTGTACAAGATTGTTTATCCCCTCTCACATGCAAGTGGGCCCCGCGTGAATAAAAAAATCCTCAAGATGTGGTCCCCACCCTCTATTGTGAGTAGTCGGTAAAGAATTAGGTAAAAAAATTCATTACATGTAGCATGGTCCTATGTTAAAATCAATGGGCATTATGCGTGTCACATCAAATGATGTCAACCAAGCTGTCAAACTTGATGTACATGTAATAAAATTGATAAAAAATAGTTATAAAAATCAATTAATCACAATTTGACTATTCGATTAGAGTTAGAATTAATTAGAATTATATTAAGTACTTAGTACGAAACATTAATTCATTCACTACTTTATTACTTAACTACAATATCTTTCACTTACGAAATTGTAACTATCATTAACCATTTCTGAATTTAGTTTCAATCTATTGACAACAAATTCTGGATCTAGCTCTAGCCAACAATGTAAACTTTAAGCTCATTCTAGAATTTGCAGAACCCAATGGAAAATGAATGACTCGATAGCTCGTCTTGAATGGTCCAAGTATACAATTTAAAATAAAGGACGCTGATAAAGATTCTTCAGCAAATCCATTTGTAGCCAGAAATCCAACAGACCACTCAAATGGGGGTGGGCCCCTTGCTGTCAGTGTCTGTTGGATTTATGTGATTTTTGCTTTTGTACGAGAAGCATAATTCGCCATATGTCACATTCTACAATTTTAACATATATAATGATGATCGTTGTGAATTTTTAGGTCATGTATATGAATGATAGAAGTTTAGACTATGTTTAGCCTATAATTGATGGTCATCATTCTGAAAGAATGATGTTTTGAACGGTGACTTCTTAAATAATATATGGTTAAAAATTTGATTTTACGTATAAAATATTTTATTATTTGAATGTGATTAAAAATTAGTATGAAAATTAAAAAAGATTATTTTTAAAAGGAGACAAACGGAAATTTAATTTAGTTAAAAAAAAAAGTTAATAAAAATTTAAGTTAAATTGTACAAATAATTTTAATTACACATTTCGTGATATTAACAATTATTTTCAATTTTTCAAATATATATATTTCATCAAATCTACTAAAAATATGATTTTAACAAAACTGAACATGGGCCAAATTTACAAACATTTCTTTACCTAAATTCTTGGGTTCTTTGCAAAAATTACTGTCTATATTTGCAAGGTATAGTGGATATATTCGCAAAAATTACTGTCTATATTTGCCGGGAGGACCTTTCTGTAAATTAATAAATAGGACTATTTCCCATTTTTCGTAGTAAGATCTATTATAATTTTAAAAATTTAAGTAGATGTTTGGTGGTGATTAAAATTAGATTTTTAATAGATTGTCATAAAAGATGTGGTTAATATTGATTGTTTGATTTTGATTTGGATTAAAATCAGATTTAAAATCCGAAACAAACGTGGCCCAAATCTTTACCAGTGTTTATTGTGCCTGTCAAAACAAAGCTAATTTCGAGTAAAATCTACTTATAGAATTTCGTGTAAATTTGTGATGGTCTACCATCCAATCAAGGTCGAAACAATTTTACTTTTCACTATTGTTTTAGCGTTCTTTATATCCGTATGGAGATCATTGATAGATGAATCCAACAGACAATCACGGGACCATAAGATAGAGATCACAATTCAAATTTATTGCTAAAAGTTGTTGGAAATGACACTGCTAATATTATCAGTGTTTGAGTCACGTTATTTTGGAATAGTAGATTAATGGAAAATGTGTGGTTGGAAAGGAAGAAAAAATTATTGATATGATGAAAAATATTATTTTATTGAAGAATGTGAGGTTGAAAATGAAAATTTTAATGTGACTCAAACAGAGACTATTAATAGATTTAGCAGGATCTTACATATAAAAATGTTAACCTATAATGTAATTTATTTCATAGGAAAAAAAAAAGTTATAAAGTCAATTTTTTACATGAAAAAATCTAAACAAAAAAAAAAGATATCCAAAATTTTAAAGCATAAAGTATAATATCCAAAATTACTTTATTAAACTTTTAGTCTTCATGATCTGACATTTGGAGTCACTGTGCAATTGTCACATCTTTTCATAAAACTTTTAGGCCAGGTTTAATGGTCATTTTGGCAAAAATAATCATTTAAATAGTGAATTTTTTAAAAACATGTGATTAAAAAGTATATAATAGAAATGAGTTTAAAAAAAAAAAAAAGAAAAAAAGAAAAGTGAATCAGCACTCGTTAGGTGAACATTCAAATAACATTCAAATAATTCAATGGGAAAGTAAGCAATTATTGTTAGGGGAAATATTGTAGCATGGTGTTCGTGCTACCACGTGCAGCGTTGTTATATTAAAGTAAGACAATAAAGTCAAAATATACAACCATTGAAAACGACACTAATTAAACATTCAAAACGACACTAATGTTGTATCCAAAATCTAAGTTGGAAAATTGACATTTATTTATGGGTATTGGATTTGTATTTAAAAAATTTAAGTTGATTGTTTGATTTTCATTTAAATTAAAATCTGATTTTAATCAGAAATAAATTGAGCAAATTGCGTATTTATAAAAATTATGGTACGAATATAATCACATTTTTTTAATATATTAGGCCTTTCCATTATTGTAAACCACCATACTCCGGCCATTCCCAACGCCGAAAAATGCCACCTCTGCCTCTCATTCCCCTCTTGCTTATCTTCTTCATTCCATTCTCCTCCTCCGTCGCACCACAGCTACTACACCAGTCCCACTTCAACAAACACAAATTTCACCTCAACAAATCAGATTCATACAAACAATACTATGAAATTACACGCCCTTTACCTTTCCACACCCTGATTCCCTCATGCGCACTCCCAGTCTTCTCCCACGACTTCGAAAACACCATCGGCCTGCCTCCGACCACCGCCGGATACTCTTCTCCGGCTAACTGTACTTGGTCCCACGTCTCTCTGCACCTTTCCGTCTCTTCCAATGGGTCCCAGTATGATCGCATTGCCGCGGTGTGGCTTGACGGCGCCGAGCTGCTCCGCACCAGCACCGCGGAGCCCACCCCAGATGGTGTCTTCTGGAAAATTAGCAAGGACATCACCAGGTACTCTTCGATTCTCCGTCAGGAAAACCTCACCCTCTCCGTCATGCTTGAAAACGTCGTTAATGACGTCTATACCGGCGTTTACCGGGTCAATATCACCTTCTTGTACTATGATATTGGTAGTAATGATACTGGCTCCCACGGATTTAACTTCCCATTGTCATTATTTCCACTGAACCAGAAGTCAACTGTCATGAAATGGAAAGAAAACCCTGTAATTTCAACGTTGAATCGTGAAGAGAACTCGTTGGATTTATATGATAAGCCAGCAGATTTGATAATTCCAATATCTGGAATTGAAAATGATGGGTTTTGGTTCAGAATCGAGAAGGGTTCCGATGTGATGTACAAGGGGATTCAGATTCCAGCAAATACATACAAGGCTGTGATCGAGGTTTATGTTTCATTTCATGGAAATGACGAGTTCTGGTACTCGAATCCCCCTGATTCTTATATAGAACTGAACAATTTGGAAACAAAGCGGGGCCATGGTGCTTACCGGGAAGTTCTGGTGTTGCTTGATGATAATATAGTTGGATCAGTGATCCCATTCCCGGTGATTTTCACGGGCGGGATCAATCCTTTATTTTGGGAGCCAATAGTTTCTATTGGGGCGTTTGATTTGCCTTCCTACGATATTGATATAACCCCCTTTTTGGGTATGTTACTTGATGGTAATGTGCATAGTTTCGGGCTGAGAGTAGCTGATGCTATCTCGTTCTGGCTTGTGGATGCGAATTTGCATTTATGGTTGGATAATAATGTGAAAGAAGTTCAGGCTATGACGTTTAAATATAGTGCTCCCAGTAGTGGAGTTGAATGCGAATCAAAGTTTCACAAGCTCGATGGATCCTTTGAGATTGAAGGGAAGAGGAAGAGTGAGGTTTCTGGGTGGGTGAATTCGAGTTTAGGAAATTTGACTACCTATGTTCATCAAAAGTTGAAGTTTGAGAACACCATAAAGTTCAAAAAGAATGGGACTCAGAAGGTTGTGAAGCAAGAAGTGAAGGTGAAGAAAGAATTAAGAGTTGAGTCCGATACAGGTACCTTGATTTCGCGTACCACCGTGAAGAAAACGTATCCCCTGAAAATCACCAGTTCAACTTTGGCTGGATCAGAGAAGAACACTTACTTGATGATCACAGATCTGGAGCATTCCCTAAAGGAGGAGAGGTCGAATGGGAATTTATCGAGCTCTTTGGTTAACAGTCAACAATCCAGTGGGTGGATGTTTGTACAGGATCATGACGTGCTCTCTGGTGCAGCGACTACTGATCAAAGTTACACTTACAAGGACAATTTCAGTTGCTACTCTCAGATAGTTTCAGCTGCCAATGGCAAGCTTGGGAGCAATACCACAAGCCTTCTCTGTTCGTCGTCCTTTTGATCATTTTCAGCCGCGGATCCACTGGAAACAAAAAGTTGTACAAGTCCTTTGTTTCTCCTAAGCCATAGAAGGATTTTGCCAGTTTCTATGTTTGCCTGAATGAGTGTGATTCTGTTGTAGGCGTCAGATTCAATAATAGTACTATCGACTATGATGGTTTTCTATGTAAAATATCTATTTGCCCAAGTTCATATCCATGTTATTTAGCAAAATTAGTTAAAACTTGACTTCAGCACGTTTCGAATTACATTGCTGCAGAAGGCATGGCAGATATTTATAGCCTCTTAAGATCATACGCAACTCTCAAGACAAAAAATATTTATTGTTTCTTCTTTTGAATTTTGTTCTTTAGAACTCGTACTACTTCTCATGGGGAAACATAGTACAAAGTATTTGCCAAAAGGTTTCTATCAGTATCATCTGAAAATAATGTGGAAATAATGTATTTCCTCCATACTTGATAGAAAATATGATTGTACACTTCAAACTTGGAATCTTCATATTCTGGCTTTTCCCTAAGGGCGCCAAAAGTCTTTCTTCCCCACAAGAAACTGTTGTTGATGTACATTTACTGACCAATGAATGGATTTCAGGATCGAGACGAGCTTGTTAATTATTTCCATGCTGTCTTGAACTAACAATATCCACCTGGTCTTAGTACCCTATCCATCTCCACTGCTACGTCAGTCGTGTCACACCTGAGGGACGAAAGCACAATGACATTCAATGAACTTATTCCTGATTACAAATTGATCTTATTTCAATGATGCTCAGGCTTCAAAGTTCTGGTAGTATCTTTGTGTCAAATTTCTGAATAGGTAACTGGAATGCAGCAGATCCTATGTTCGTGGATAGGTGTTGAGAGATTCGCACCAGTCATGGTAAACTCTAATCAGCCATCTATCGAAGATGACAGATAAAGCATCTGTTTCATGAATAGGGACGGCATTCATCACCCACAGGGGTAGATTTAAGGGTGCAGCAGCAAACCTAAAAAAAAAACAAAAACAGATTGTAAGGATAATCAACTTGCTGGATGAGATGATAAATGCCCATCTTACCCTCCATAACCTGTATTCATATCCATCACACTTCTCACGCTCGACCAGTTTATATCAAGACCTCCAAGATAAACCTCAGAAACAAGTGCAGACCAGTGTCTATTGTCAGCGTTAAATATTTCCACTGCATCTGGTTCTGAGATCAGGCTTCGAGGTTTACTATCGAGCCTATCGGGCCAGGATGAAGGCCACTTGCGTGCAAAACTTGGAAGTGGTGGAAGGCAACTGTCCAGAGGAGCATACCTATTTGCAGGAAATGACTGATCCAGTCGGTGATCAAAATAACAATGATGATGATAATGACCATTAAATTGTTGTACCATGAACTGTTTGGCCGACTGGCGTGCTCACAAATGGTCGATTATTTTCTTTGCGATTCTCATAGCAGGAAGAGGACACTGGCTTTTGATAGATAACTACCCCAATATGAGGAGTCGAAAAAAGTCGTCACCACTGCCTTCCAGCAAAGTGCTTCTGTCAAAGCTACCATAGCTGCAAGACACGGATACAAAATCCACCTATAAATGCTAAAAGTCATGTAATGAATTACTAAATATATATGTGCTTTAACATGAAGTCTAAATAAACTCTACGGTCCTGAGAAAGGGGACGAAAGTATGACGATTACAAACATTTCCAGACATTCTTATTTCTTTCATCCTTCCTATACACTGGCGTGGCCTACCATGTGAAATATCCTCCAGGCCTAAGAATCCTGTTGAGTTCTATTAGTGGTTTTCCACCTGCAGGTTTCCGTAAGTAGCTTTTAATATACTTAAAAACCAGTATTATTGTAACATCCCAAATTTTTACTACTAGTTATTAGATTTAAATTTAGGACTTAAGTGCGCTATTATTAAAGTCTAATGACCTTATCTGTTATTGACCAATAGTTTGAGGAACCAAGTGGAAAGTTATTTTGAAAGTTAGATTAAATCATGCTTAAAACATATGTATGCAAATTAGTCTTGATTAGGGATGATTCATTGACCACATACATTATTGAAACAACATTTCAAACCAATGTAATTGAATTGACCACGCAAATCAAGGAAATTGATTTGACCACATGCATTATTTACACCAAGTTAATTGATTTGACCACATGATTAAATGCATTAATTTGACCATTTTAATGACAATACACCATTTATGCATTTATCATCCCTAATATCTAGCCATTTCCTTTCAATTTTCTACACATGGTCAAGAATTTACCATATAAATAGGAGACAAACCTAACACTAAACTACCCTCAACAATCATTTATACACTCTCCATCTTTATCTCTATAACTTTGTCTCTCCACTTCTCTTTTTCTGGTCATTTTTATGTTCATACAATTATACAATCACACGTGAATAATCAACCTCACACGTGGCTCAAGGATCTCTTTCCAACAATAACTCCTTTTTATCATTTTGAATTGTCCAGTGAAGAAGTAAGTTGTGCTTTAAGTTTATGGTCGCTAATGTTTAGGTATGTAATATTTCTACGGCTATGTTATGTTTTGGTCCATGTTACGTATGTTCTATTAAGATTGGACCGGAGTTTAATAGCGCTACGCATGAGAATTTAGCACCACCTAAGTTCGGTCTAATTTTCGTGTCTCCCTATGCAAGTTATGAATTTTTCGTAGAAATACATACATGAATTCATTATCCACGCACGCTTATTGAGAATTATTCTCACTCTATTATGTCTCTACTTTCAGATAATTGATGATTCGATGAGGTCGGGACGGATATGGCTTATGGTGGAAAAGATTCAACAATAAAATTCTTACGTTGTCAAACTATTATTATTTCATTTAATTTTAAATAATTTTAAGATATTCCTTGTTTCAAGTAATGTATTAAACTCATTACATCATTTGAATTTTAGTAAGTGCTTAAATAATATATAAAATTGTGTTAAATATCTTTTAAATTTGCTTTAATTTATGATTTAGTGACACTCGAATTGTTAAGGACCTGGGTCATCACAGTTGGTATCAGAGCTAAGAGTTTTTAAAAATCGGTTTTGTAGACTTGACATATATTTTCAAAATTTTGTACTTTACGATTTTTTTTATAAAATGAGAATTAAGTTGTTCTAAGTCACTAGCCACTATGCCATCCTCCATGTCTCGACTTCCTTGAACCAGGTATGTATGCACATGTCATCTCACTTATGAAAGCATGTCTATTACGCGAAATACCAATCATGAATATAGTGACAAAATATGAATATTAATTTATGATTTTATTTAGGCTTGTTATGCATAAAAGTCAATAATAATATGAAATTTTGAATGTTATAAGTGTTTACTATTATACATATGATATTATTGATAGAAGACCTTAATCTTAGATTTTATACTAATGTAGAAACCATGAGATATATAGATGATGGTAGCTATGTGGTTTTAAATGCATGTTAAGTTTAGTGGGAATGACTCAACTAGAGATTAAGTTTGCAATAATGTAGAATCACATATTATACTAATAAGATTTACAATGAATCCACGTACAATAATTCATCCCTTTATCACTACCTTTGTAAAAATAGGGAAAAAACCGTGGATGGTTATTTAATACGTTCTCTTAAAGTGTCAACTTCTGGTACAATAATTTATTCATTTATTACTACCTTTGTGTAAAACAAAGGAAAAACTGTGGATAATTATTGGTACTTTCTCTTCAATTTACAATTATTAGTACTTTCCCTCTATAATAATAATAATAATAATAATAATAACAACAACAGCAACAATAATAAAAAAAATAACGTTACTCTAATGAAACTAATGTCCCTAGAAAGCTCTTACTTTATGAAATTCCCAACAATTACCTACTTTTGGAAATTCTTTTGAAAAAAATAATTATTTTTTGAAAAGTTCTTTTGGAAATAAAAGTAATTATGTTCCTTTCTTTTCGATAGATAGTGAGTGAACAAGGTCAAATCACTCGAATTGAGAGATGCAATCATTTTACTCGGTTGCATAGCAATTACAAGAGAAACCCGAACCACGGTTTGATACAATACTTAGATGCCATGGAAAAGATTTACCGAGTGGCAATAGCGAATGGATATCAATTTGTGTCACCTTGACTGAACCCTTACTCCTTACTGGAGGCAGTTTATCAACGGAATCGAAGAGACCTTCGACTACCAAACATCTCCTGATCTATTACTCTGATGCATGAGGGAAAGGTGGAGAGTGAATACTGAAGATGTTAGGTATACCAGTGGGATGCTAGGATATGAACCCAATTCGGATAACGTCATAACCATACCCGAAGTTGACTACGAGGGAAGTTATGTTAAAGATGACTTGAGTGAAGAATACAACCCTGCGTTATATTCCGCGATTGACCCGAAACAAAAACCCGAGGGATAATAGGAGGTGAATCAAGGGGAGGGTACTGTGAAGAATTATTAGATGATGCCTAGTTTTCTTTATGTTTAAATTTATATTCTTAAATTTTTGAATCTCAACTTGTTTGGACATTGCGTATGCTTGGTGGTCCGTTATTTATGTGAAGTTATGAATATTTATGAATAAGGCAAGCCATTCCTTTATGTTTCATTTCATCAATTTGACTTAATTCTAAATAGTTACTATCATTTAATTAAGGTTATGGTACCCCGAAGCAGAAGGACTTACAATAGCAATAACCAAACCCAAGGGTCTACATCCATGCATTAAAGATTTGGAGGCATTATCTTTACGAAGGTAAATGTGACATTTATACGGACTGCAAAAGCCTCAAGTACATCTTGTCCCTGAAGGAGTTGAATATGAGACAGAAGATGGCTTGAGTTAGTAAATGATTATGATTGTGAAATTCATTATCACCTAGACAAGGCGAATGTGGTAGCTAATGCATTGAGTCGAAAAACAGAAAGTCAATTAGCTATGTTGACTACGCAAGAACCACTACGGAGAGAATTTGAGAGATTGAATCTCGAGGTTGTCACCACTCAGCTAGGTATGGTTACTCTAGTAGCAGCTCTCTCTATCCGACCCACACTTCGTGACAAAATTAAAAGGCATCAAAAGGATGACCAATCTTTTGAGTATATCAAGTCTGAGATCAACTCAAAAAAGCGAAAGGAATTCACCATAGCTGAACATTATATTATCAAGGACAGATGTGTATACTGGATTTCGAGGAATAGAAAAGAGAGACTCTAGAGGAAGCTCACTCATCTCCTCATTCAGTACACCCGAGAGGCATAAAGATGTATAAAGATTTGAAGCCAGTATTTTGGTGGAAAGGCATGGAGAAGGATATAGCTGAATATGTCAAGAAATGTTTGGAATGTCAGCAAGTGAAGGCCGAACACCAAAGACCATCAGGGTTATTTGAACCATTGGAAGTCCCAGAGTGGAAGTGAGAGCATGTAACTATGGACTTCGTGATTAGTTTTCGAAGGTCAGCAAGAGGTCACGATGCTATTTGGGTCATAGTGGATCGACTCACCAAATCGGATAATTTCTTGTCGGTTTGGATGATGTTTACTATGTACTAGGTCGCGTAGTTATATGTGAATGAGATAGTAAGTTTACATGGTGTACCTGTTTCTATTGTATCAGATAGAGATCTAATGTTCACATCGAACTTTTGCAAAAGTCTACACCGAGCCATGGAACTAAACTAAAGTTTAGTATAGCATTCTATCCTCAGACAGATGTGCAGTCTGAAGGGACAATTCAAACATTGGAGGACATGCTTCAGACATGTTATACTGGAGTTTGGAGGACAATGGGAGAAGCATTTACCATTAGTTGAGTTCTCATACAACAATAGTTACCATACTTCAATTGATATGGCACCATACGAGGCATTGTATGGGAAAAAGTGTAGATCACCAGTTCATTGGGATAAAGTAAGTGAGCGAAAGATTTTGGAGCTAGCGATTATTGAACATACGATTCATATAATTGAGAAAATTCACTCTAGCATGAAAATTGCCCAAGATAGACAAAAGAGTAATGCAGATAGAAAGGAAAAGGGTTTGGAATTTTCAGTTGGTGATAAGATATCCCTCAAAGTGGCACCAATGAAAGAAATTTGGCAAGACGGATAAGTTACGACCAAGGTTTATTGGTCCGTTTGAGATCTTGCAATGTATCGAGAACGTTGCATATAGCATTGCCTCCAGAACTTTCAACTGTACATGACGTCTTTCATGTGCCAATGATTAGGAAGTACGTCCCTGATCCGAGTCTTATGGTCAACCATCAATCTATTGAATTACAACGAGGTTTAAGCTATGAAGAGTACCAATAAGAATTGTAATTTCAAGCCCTCCGGGACAAATTGATCCTGCTAGT